TCTTGCGCGTAGGATGCACGGGGCCTCGCGGCGGTAAATCAAGCCCGGTGATATTAAAAGGCCGCTTATACGCGAAAACACAAGATTTATTTCTGCCGAGAGAGGAGAGCGAGGCAAGAAATCGGTGTATACGGGCGCCCAATCAATGGACAGGAGGAACAAGAGAGGACGCGAAGCCAGGGGGAGCCAGATAAAATGAAGAAGGACCTTGCCTCGATTCTCGAACGAGCGAGAAACTCGCGACAGACCGATTCAAAAGTAACGAAACGAAACGAAACGATACGATGAAAAAGAGGATTGAGAATACAGCGGCAGCCACGTGGTGAGCTGAGAAAGTTGGACGTTGCTGCAGGAAGAAGAGGATTCCGCTGGAATTAGAAGCAACTTCTTTGGCCGGGAATCGAGATTCGATTAAAGTAGGTTGATTTGCTTTCCTATGTTTTTATTTCGTCTGCAATTGGAAATGATTGCAAGATCGTTGGTCGAGCGCGTGTCTTCTTTTACGGTTTTCATCGAGTATTTACTCAAATTCTCTACAAATATGGGGCGGATCGAAGTGAAATGGAAGGAGAGGAAGGGCGGAAGTTTCGATCGGTTGCTGCTGGATCGAAAGTGGAGGAAGCTGGGAAGAAGAGCTGAAGAGAAAGAAAAGTTTAGGAATTCTCTTGGGATTGGTAGCAACTTCTTTGGCTTCGTCGAGGCTTGATTTAAATAGACTGATTTAATTTCGTACCTTTTTTGTTCGACGAATCGATGCTGATGTCGAAGGTGTTTGACAGTGAGAGCATCTACAATCTCTGCGGATCAGTGTACGAAATAGAAAAGAGAGAGAGATGGCAAAGAAGAGATGGAAGGAAGAACTTTGATCACATGTAGAATCATTGGTCGAAGGAGAAAAGAGGAAAAAAGAGAGGAAGAGAAGCAAGGAAGGAGGACTATGGGGTTGGTTATCGGGGTGTTGGTGAGTGAAACGGAGAGGATTCACCCCTGTTTCGGTCGAATAACCGTGTCGTCCTCGTCGAAAGCGGTTTGCTCCAGCTAATATCGAACCATCGCCCACATTCAAAGGGATGTCAGGGTAGGAATGGTATTGTACTCCCCTTCGAGGGCGATTCTTCTTCGAAACGTCTGTCATTTTTGACGTTGTTAATGAAAAGATTGGCTACATCAAGGAACATGCATGTGAAAAAACTTCGTTTTTCGTTGCATTCGTCCTCATTTATTTTTTTTGCTATTTGTTCTTTAATCTAAAAAATTATCTGGTACAACGAACATCTCGAACAACGTAGTCAATCTCTCCTAACTTTTGACTTCATACAGTTGTTGTAATTTATAGCACCGTATCGTATATGTTTCGCAAAACACAGTCGTATTAATCTTTCGATTCTCGTCCAGCAATTTGGACAAAATGTGAACTCGTCTATAGATGAAGATTGTAGAGACAAGTGATTTTATTTTTCAAAGTGTCACGTGAACAATATTACATTGTGTTGTATTTATTAAATACATCTATGTTCAATTAATTTCCGCCCGCATTTTTCTCGAAAACGAAATCTTTAATGTTTATTGTTCTCGGTCTTCGAGTCATTTTGAATCAGAGAATTTTTTTTTGCCTCGCTTGTATCACGAATTATAAATTATTCAGAATTAATTTTATGGCGAATTATTTAAAATTCGAAATATTTCTTGAGAAACATACATGTATTATATTTCACGCATAAAGTTACTAAAGTCTCCAAGACTGGACCGTTGTAAATTTACAAACTTCAAAATTTCAACGAAAAATTGCGGATAATTCCACTCCGATAATCTACTACGTACTGTGTATTAAGAAACGTCTTTCGCAGAACGTACTCGAATATCCTTGTAATCATTGCGGTTTATATGATCACTGTGGTCGAGTCGTATCATTATTCGGTACCGGTGCGTAATATCCTGCTCTATGCACGAATGAGTCTGGAGACAACAACGATCCGTGGAACGCCTTAATCAACAAAGAGATATCTTTCCCTCGAAGCTGTCGATCTCTTCCACCAGAGAAAACAGCACCTTGGAGGATGTTCTTTGCACTCTGCGCAACGACATAGAACGATTTCAATTTCATGCTCCCAGCCGTATTAAACCTTCCGGTTGCGGCATGGTAAATCGCTTTTCCTTTGACGATCATACCTTATTTTTTTTTTCTTGACATTTCAACGAAAAAAAGGTCTTCATAAGTTTATCGAACTTCGCGTTCGACGTAAAAAGATTTAAACAAATTGACTTTGTCGATCGTAAATTAATACTTTAACGTAAATTAAGTTGATTTATTTTTTTTTTTTTATCTTAACCTGTAGTAAGTGAAAGCTATTTTTACCTTTAGTATAAATAATTAAAGAAAGTAATTGCGAAAGTCTTGCAACGAACGTGCATTTCAAAAAGACAGCAATTGTCTATTGTAATATTTCAAATTATAATTGCAATATTTCAGATTTGGCCATTTTTTCCCCTCATTTCAATAATTATTCTCATTAATTTAGTTTGTTCAAATGGTTTTCTTTAAGTAAATAGTAAATTATATTTCTTTTGCATATAATCTTCTATAAAGTAATGAGATAAACTCGGTCGTTCGAAGAGTGATTTCGTGATACTTGACAAGATATTTTAATTAAATGCAAATATAAATATGTCTTAAATGGATGTTGAGATACAAGTTTGGAAGGAGAATAACGAGTTAAAAAAAATTAACAGCTTCTATATTACTTATGCTCCGATTGAGAATCTGCGGACTAACAATTATTACAAACAATTCATTCGGTATTTTTGTAACGGCGAATGTAGAAAATAAAATAATTCTCAAGTTATATGACACTGTAGAGAGATGCTCACACTTGGCTACTATTAAAATTTCTCTCTCTTCGAATTCAAATTTTTGTTAAAAACAAGTCTTGCAATAGTCATGTGTAAGACAGTTGGAAGACGGTACAACATATATATATATATATAGTGATGTGGCCGAATTATCGAAGCATTTCTAAACGATTTCCCCGGAACCGTATCCCATTCTCTTGTAGTGGTCATAACTACCCCCCTTGCATCGGTTTTCGGCTCCTGTTTTCCTCTTCCATCTCCTGGGAGTAATAATCGTCATGGACCGGAAAAATTCCGCGACAGAAGTTAAACAAAGCCTCGAATGAGAAATAAAATAAAAAAGAAGAGGGAGAGAGAGAAGGCGAGAGGAGAACGGTATTTGGGAGGAAAGGGGAGGAGAACGAAAGGTGCAGAGCAGAGAAACACGAGGGACACGGAGAACCACACGAACAACGGAGAGAGTCGCTTCCCTGGTTCGACTGTAATAAGGGTGACCAATTTTCTCCTCATCCCCGTGCGTCTCTCACTGTTCGACTGTTTGAACAAGGCTCATAATTAATACGCATATTCGCTTCTGGAAAATCCGCTCGGGGGTATTCGGCAGGGAGACATTTTTTTAAATCCTCCGCAACGGGTATTTGCACTTTGCTCGGTTATCCTCGCGGTTTCCGCGAGTTTCCTGCTTTCGTGCTTCTTTTTCTTCCTGCCCGTCCTTCGCTCGTGCATAGATCGATTTTTTTTTTTTTTTTCTTCAATAATCGACACGGTGATTTCAAGCGAGGGTTTCTTGTTTCATCGATAGATTTATTGGAAAGTTTTTCTTCTTCGTTTCGTGTTGCGTCGAAGTGCAGACGATGTATTACACGGAAGTGAGTAACTAAACGAATTGAGCTTCTCAGAAGTCTTTTCAGATAACAGTTGTAGCAAACGGGGCTGGAGAGAAATAGTAAATATTAAATTTTACTAATAATATTCTTGTTTTCTCATGTGTGTAGTTACATATGGAAATAGGATAGTGAAATAAGTATTTCATTAAAATATAGGAAAATAATATTTCTTCAAATAGTAATATTTCACAGAATAGTATTTATAAACGTATATATAAACGTATACACGTACCGCGTATTTGTATCTCATATATACGTAAAAAATGAAAAATTACAGTTTACGTTTTTTCAAATTCAGTATCGTCGCCTCTTCCACGAGGAAGGTGGACACGTTTCGTTTAGGATCTTAAAATTCGCATAGATTTCCCGTTTACCCCGTCTCGGTAGGATCACGTACCTGGCTGGTTTCGCGAGACATATCTGTCTTTAAGAGCATTATCTGGATGGTGGACGGGTGGGGAGACGGCAAAAACCGTCCGCCCCCTCGTGGTATGTGAAAAATGATGCACAACCCCAATCCCCCGACGCATCTCCACCCCCGTCGGAATGTCCCGAAGGAAGCGTTTCTCCTCGTCGTCTTTCTGGTCCACCACCCGAAAGACGTGTCACGGACGAGGTTGCATTATTCGAAACGATTAACTGGCTGACAGCGTTTGTAAAAAATAATCCTGGAAATATATTTTTAATGCCCGGGGATTTATCATGTGTGTCGGTGCCGGTTGTCGGTTGCAAATGGCAGCAGCAGCTTGGGGGTTGGACGTAGCAAGTTACAATCGAGACACTTGGTAGTTTTAAGGATGGAATAATAAGTAGACTCCGTATTTGCGAGAAATTTTAAATGGCAAAATTACGCAGAACGCACGGTATATGTAAAAAATACATATGTACAAAATGTCAAAAGTATGATGCTTTGTATAATATTTGGTATAGGAAACGATTTTCTATTTGAATTTTATTTTTCAGTTGTTGAATTCTCAAATTTACCGAAAGTATGGTACATGAATATTTGGAGTGTAATAATTAGATTGTGGAGGTTTATATCTCTTCCATATTTTTGGAATTATATTTCAAAATGTTACATTGGGATTCGTTTTCATTTTTTAAATATTATGAGGAACTTTATACACATATTGTGCTTTTGCTTTTTGTACATGTCTGTACGAATTTTCAAGAAATTTACAAATGTATCCAGACTAGTAGTTACTTAGTATCTTAAAGTTACTTTTCAATGAATTTCAAAATTAATTTCCGTTTTCTTTTCAGATACGCTGAAGTGTTCTCGAAGACACCACCGATTGGTGTTCGAAACGGCATTCTCCTCTGCGAACCACACAAGGGGTTTTTATACTCACCTACAGTCAACAATGAATTGTAAGTAATATTTGTCTCAGATTTGTCATTCAATCTTTGTTCTTCAATCTTTAATTTATTTTTTACTTTATTTGTTTTATTAATGGAAGGTTTAAATAACACCACAGATAAATAGTAAAATAATTGAGAATTATTTAGTCTTTCCTCTTTCTTTCAAGAAAATTGAATCTTACGTATGAATCTTAACCTCAGAGAAGTCAGAATTTTTTTCTCAAAGTTCAGTCCGTAACCACTGTATTATAAAGCGAAAGTGCGTGATCTCTTGGCACCACTTTCTTCTTTGCTCGTCCTCCGGGTCTGCGTGACGTGATGGATACACGAAAATGTCACAAACACGCCCCCCGAGGCCAACGTGGCAATCCACCCTCTGACCATTATGCTAAACCATTGTCCACTATCTGCCTAAGATAGCCGACGGCTTAAGTCGTCCGTCTGTTCACCCTCGCTGCATCCAGACCGTTAAAAAATCATTTTATCCGTCAGTCATCGACCTTTCGCCTCCTTGTGCCATTTCTTCGTACTTTCTTACGGAATAGAGTGATTCAATTACTCTCGAACGACTATCCACGGGATCTTATTTCTTCTTGAACATAAGGGATGATATTACTCTTCATCGAGGAATAACGTAACATTTCATTTGCAGTCCGATGCATTTCATTTTCTAATATTCCATTTTTTAATAATGGCGTTGGAAAGGACAGTATGGTAAGGATTCACGTAACGTTTCTTCATCATTACGTATTCCATTTAAATTTTATAATTTCACGAAGTTAATAGTCATTTCATAATTATTTTAGAAGACTTATTTTCTCATAACTGGAGCTTCCAAGGCTTAAGCAATAGTATATCATATATTTAATATGATATATTTAAAGTTCTTTCTTTTTTATACAACTGTAGGCTCTATCAGTGAAGTATGTAAAGAATATTAAACAAATTTTTAAAATTTCATTTTATAGCTACAATATTAAAAAAAAAAAAAAAAATAGAATTGACGGTACAAAATGATTGAAAAAAAGTTGCAAATGAAATATTACGACCCTATAATAAACGAATATCAATTCTTAAGCTCATACAACTTGCTATAAAAGAATTCTCTATGGCAAATGTCAAGATTTAAATATTTTTATATTATTTTCCGATATCGAATACTTTTCTCATAATTTTTCTGATAAAATTCCTCTATTGAAGCGTCATCAAAGGAAGTTGAAGGCACGCACAGAGTACGATGTAATAAACGAGTTAACGATTATTCGATCGGAATAACTTGAAGCTCGTTAAACGGCGAATTATATTCAATAACGATAGCGAACACGATAGCGTGTCTCGTTGGAGACTGGGTTCTTCGCTTCCTTTTTTTTTCTTTCCTTTTTCCGTTCATCCGACGAGGATTTCTGCGATTTCCCTCTCTTTTTCTCCAGCTCTCTCCTCGATGCATCCACCATTATTCCGGCGTTAGGCAAATACACGAGGAGAGACGACAAGCTCGTCCGCGCGGTTTTTGCCTCGTGAAAATTCAAATGAGACCGCGCGGCATATTGCGCTGAATCGAAATTAATGTCGCGCAACTAATTATCGGCCGAGTCATCATCGTCTCGTATCAGCTGGTTGCTAGCTCGTTCCATCGTTTCGAAACGCGTCTCCATAAGTTTCTACATCGCCGAGGAACGTGTGTGTGTGGTAATTTTCATCGCAACGATCTTTAATTAAATCGTCTAACGAGCGCGACCTTTTCATTTTTTAACGCGATCGTTCTCTTATACTCGTGGGAGAAGATACTTTTTTCTTTTGGAAGGTGCAAAGATGTTTTTTCATAAAGTATATTAATATGATATTTTATTAATAATATCCCATAAATTAAATTCCAAGAGATATGCTGTGAATATTTCAAAATTCTGTATTAATGATGTATTAGGAAAAAGATTGAAATGATGAGATAATTTATTTTATTTATTATCATTCGAAGGAAAAGGATCGTTTCTATAGTTTAACTATGTTAATTTTCGTGTTTTATAAAACTTCTGGAATAAATTCTGTTATTCTAATTTGTCATTCAACTGTTAATTATCGGCACCTGTTTCTCAAATAAATATTCGTTTTATAGATGTCTTATCTACAAAGTAATGTTTGAATTTTTACCAATATTATTGGTTATTAATATTTTTCATACCACAGCGCTCTCCAAATTTCGACCATTTTCTATCTGCAAAATGAAAAGTATCTCTTTGCAAATCGAGTTGTTGAAATCACCGATAGTAGTAAATTCTATTAATAATAAATACTAGTAAATTCTAGTGAATCCACCTAGAAGTTCTTTATTCTATGTTCACGTATGTTCGTCAATCGGAGGAGATGTTCAGCAACGATCAATGCGCGTATCTCGCGGGATTTTTCAAGGCGTTATCGATCATAGGCGACGCGAGATGCCGGCGTAGTGCACGAGCATCAGGAACCACGCCAGGATCCGGCGAACAATTGCCGGGCAAAAAGCTGGAGCCGGTGCGCGGCAAGAAATTTCTAATTTGCGGTATAATTAAGGGAGACGGGGCAAAAACCACCACGGATTCTACACCGTTGTCGGAAAATCGCGAATTCCACCTTGCGAGCACGCCGCCCTGCCTGCCACCCCACCGCCCCCACGATTGTAGACCGTTTGATTTTATCTGCGTGTTATCCGCTCCTTAATCGAGTGATTGTTGAGTAAATAATTAATTAGACATCGTTTAAATAATATGAAAAAGGGAAAACGCGCACGAATAATTAATAATGGGACACTGCAGCTTTTTGCGGGAAATCTTTGCAACGGTTTATTTAGTTATTACGCGGTTTCAGGTTTTGATGAAATATTTATACGTACGAGAGAGAAGAAATTTTATTAACAGTGTTAATTAACTTTTTTTTACTAATAGTAGTATGAGCTACTATCGTACTAGCTTCTTTTTTCTTTTTCTTTTCTTTCTTTTTTAGTTATTGTTAGATTACCGTGGATTTTTGTGAACACATATTTTTGAGAATAAGATATTTAAAGAGAAACAGAAAATTGTTTCGTGTATTAAATGCTATAGAAAACACTGTATTTTATACCACGTCACATTATGTGCACTTTCTGAAATTTTGCATTTTAAGATTTCTTAAAAATTCATAAGCTGCTTGTCATCATATTTAGTTGCTTCATTACACAATATTGTTGAACATTCTGTACTTCACAGTAATCTTGAGAATGTTTTATAAGTAAATATATAATAAGTGTGATTGTAATTAGAAATAGAAAACTACGACAAGAGAAACTACTTCAGGATATTTTTTTTTTGTGTCTGTCCTTTTACGTTTGTTCGTTCATGTTTCTAACTCGATCGATTATAAGGCAACGAAGAAACGTATTAACATGTCGGGAAATTTATTACAGGTACACCATCATAACAGTCGAGGAATGGGCGAAACTGATGCAGTTTTACGACGTCGATTATCCAATCATCATTAAAAAGGTCAACTCCGATTTCCAAACAGAACCGGGTAAGTACAAATCACACGCACGACAAAAACAGATTTCGTTCGAAATTTAAAAGAAACACTTGGAAATTAGTTACGTGTTTGTACTCTTAACGCGAGTAGGAAATGATTTTTCCATTCTCGCGGTTTCCCTTATCGTTTTACACTTTTTAATACTTGACGTACAACCAGCACGGATAACCGTAACGTTATGTAAAGCTGAAGCCGTTCTTTTAATCGTACATCGATCTTTTATCGTCATAAATGAAATTAGAAATGGGTGATATTGCCCCACTCCTCTTTAATTAAATTTCGCAATTTCTTGTATAATATAAGTAATATAAACTTACTCACCTTCTTGAAACTTTTGTTTCAAGTGAAGTTATAAAATAAATTATATTTTTAAAAGATTCATTTAAATTCATATCATTTTATTTTTTAATTTTATAAATTATAACTTTACTCGTAATAATATTTCAATGTACGTGACTTGGGAAATATTATGTAGGATCATTTAAATGAAAAAGATAGATATTCTAATTACATAGAAATTAATAATTTCGATAAACATCCTAAATTCGCAGAAAGTGAAATCCTAGGAATTTTTATTTATCGAATGTTAATTTTAAAAGTACGCGTTATATAAGCTGTTCAATAATTCTTACACTAAAATTTTTCTGTTTTTAAATTTTCAGATATTCTCAATTTGCGTTCAATCGCAAATCACGTGGATAAAAACATTTAAAAACTTAAAAAGAGAAGAAGAACCTTTGAAAATATCTGTTAATCCACGTGACAAATTGATCATTCACGGGTGACGATATTCGCAATTGGACGCAAATTGAAACGAATCGCAATGTGACGACAATTCTCGCACATGTTCCTCAATAAAGGCCTATCAATTTCCTGGTAGAGCGCGGAGATCCGAAGACTGATCACGGCAATTAACGACTTTCTCTTTTATCCTATCCTGGGACCGTTCGATCTTATCGGCAATTAATTTTCGTACGATTCCAGAAGGGACATTATGTAAACGATCGTCCCTAGGTGGATCGTTACCAGCGCTCCCCCTCTTACACGTTCCCTCCCTTTTTCTCTCTTTCTCTGATTCTCTGTGAACACAACCAGTCTAATTACCGGTACACACAATCCCCACGCATACACGCCATACGTGCGTGAACCCTGGTGATATTTCCTTTTTCCGATTTTAACTGGATCTCTCCAATACGTCTAGGATTTATTTGTAACTTAATCGCGCGAGTCGTGCAGGCCGAGGACATTTCTCTTGCCACGAATTTCACGTTTACGCGCAACCGGATCTCTCCCGATCCGGTTAGAATTTATTTGTGACTCAATCGAGACGAGGAAATTGTTGATAGCCTGCTATAGCGAAATTGCCAGTTTCTTTTTCTGGTGTCGTGTGAACAGCTGGTGTCTAATAGGGAGAGGAATGTTCGTGTGATTGACCAGGTATTCACTCTTTGATTATTATTTTTTTTCTTTTTTTTTTCTATTTCCTTTTGATGATTCTTCGTATTTTCTTTTTCTTAATTCAAGTTAGCGTAGATTAAATGCATTGTGAAATGTGTTTAGTAATTCTTTGAATGAAAAAAATCATCTTGAAATTCATAAATTAGTCGACGAGTAAATTTATAAATTTATTCGTGCTCGAAAATCGTGCATTACTATATCACTATTACATATACATATATAATTATTTAAATATGTAGATACACTGTGTATGCGTGTCTGTGCGTTTCCTTTGGTTCTCTGCGTTCCCCTCTCGCGACTAAACTCGAGGAATAATGCCAGAAGACATTAGCCACCGATTTACATAAACACCCCTCCCACGTTTGTTTCGCTGCCATCGTCGGTTAGCTTCTCTGGCAGACCCTAAAGTGTCTCATTATAATTAAGAAGTATCCTGAAAATTAACCGACAGAAAAACCGGTGCTGTTGGGGAGATGAGTAGGTGGTGCCGGTCCAAATAGGCTTCTAAAAGTTTCTCGCCCTTCAAGAGATCCTCGCGATTCCTCCAAGAATTCTTTCCATTGCGAGCAAATTTCACAGTTCTACCATCTTTTTTCTTCTCCTTGTTTTCTTAACACATACAGAGTGATGCAGAAGCAATGCAATTCAATATTGGTAAATATTAGGTTGTAACATAAATTGAAAAATATCAATACAATCTTTTCAATTAATACTAAATGTACCAACGAAATGGTTTCAAAAATGGTTTTCAAATTCTTCGTCCATTGTTACTTCTTTTGTTCATTTAACTCTCGTATAAAATGAAAATTTTTTTATTGTTTCCCATATTAAATTGACAATTAACTGTGTTATTTTCGTAAAATGATCTTTATTTCATAACTGGTCATTTCACCGGTTGTGGTAGGAATAGGTATACACAAAATGCTGGTATTAATACGTTTAGTATCGTCGTTGTAATTGTATTGTATTGTAACGACAAGGATCGCAGAGAGCTCTCCTAAGATCAGGCCTTACACGCGTCCTCCGGTTGAATCGGCCACGCGCAAGCCCACTTTGTCGAACGAGTGATCCTTGTCGTTCGACTGGCAGGCAAATTGGGTCCCGAAGATAGCACCAGGGGGATCTTGCGGACCGATGTTCAACGTCGTTGGTTACGCTGGTTTGGTAACCGTTCAAGAGACCCGCAGGCCTCTAAACATCCCATTGTCTTGTCCGTCTCTCGGTCGCCGATCGCCGAGCGATTTTTTCCTACCGACATTTGTCAAGGCTGTGCCTCGTCCGAGGAGGAATCGTCCGCCGGTTAATTTGAATTGCAAAGTCCCCGAGGGCTGAATGGGCCGGCGTCTCGCGTCTCGGGATATCCAACAGCCGGATCGCGGATCGCCCAGATGGAGATGTCGTTTAGGGTTAAAACCGTGATCTTTTCTACACTCGTGGTGGTGGCTCGCGGGCTCGTGCCGCTTGATCTACATCCTCGATTGATCTTCTTGTTCTCTAACGTCTTTCTCCATTCCGATCGCGTTCCCGGTGTTTTTCGTTTCGCTTTTCGGAATCGCCTTCTCGCGATTTCTCTTTCGTGTTTTCAGTTTTATGTTTGCGTGAGATTTGGCAATGAGGGGATGAAGGGGCGCCTCTGTTTAGAGATCATAGTTACAAAAATTGGGCCGCACGCAGAGATTCGGCAGATTTTCGAAATGTTGGGATTAATGTGTGTTTTATTATTTGAAATATAAGATGTAGATCAAGTATAAATTGCAAAATATATCATTGAAAGATCGTAACAACTCATTGGGTCACGAGTATTATTACCTGTAAACATTTTACGTTACGAATTTTTATCTTTATAAATGTCAAACGAGATAAATACAACGAAATCGTTGACAAACAAAATTTTAAATAATACGTAAAGTAACTAGATAATATTGTAAAATGAGGATGAAACATTCCTCACATGTCACGATCAAAAATATATAAATCTCGATTATATTTGCATATATTTTCCATCGGATAAGTCGGTCAAACCAAGTACGTAATTCACTTGACTTAATGACCAATGGAATCACTCATCCCGTTGCTTTAAATCCCATTAACAACGACGAGATTATTCTTACCCTCGCTAACGAAACGCTAAGGATTCTCACTCTCCGACAGGAGAACACACGCGAGACACGGAAACTCCAGAACAAACAGACAATTTACCTCGTTTTAAGGGCACGCGTCCTAACGGACAGAATTGAAGCAGGGAGCCGAGCACTTGCCTCTGGTTGGCAAAAAATCGGGGGTTGCTTTCGGTGACTGATACGGCCCTGACTAACGAGCCTCGAGCCGGACGATCGTTCCGGCGGAGACTCTTAAAGCCTTCGAAGGGGGTGGTCCTTTTCTCCCTTTCTCGCGCGCGGGCCCTTTCCTTTCGTCTTTCTTTCCTCGCGGAGGCACATTAGGCACCGTCCAACCTCGTATCAATCACTCGACAACCCTGGAGTCGTTGGTCGGCGTTCGGTTGACAGAACCGGAGGTGACGCGATTGAATACCACCCTCCGGGCATCTACGGCCCACCAACGCGATGACGACGATGCTTCTGGAAAACCTCGGGGAAAGGAAATGTTCCTCGTCCGGCTGCATCCGTTTAATGGACGACAGCCGAAAAAAAAAAAAACGATCGACCGCTAACGAGCCATCCGTGGAACCGTTCGTCCTTTTATTATTATCGGTTACTTTCTACGAAACTTTGGTTGAAGAGTTGTGTGACACGTGACGAAGATTGTGGGTTTTGATGGTGTTGGTGTTTGAGAAAATTTGACATGATTTAGACAGAGATCTTTAGAGAGTTTCGCATTCTTTATTCTAAAGTTATATACTATAATAATATATTAATTACAAAAGTTAAACAGTTACAGTTATATACTAATTATTCAATTAATCGATACAGTTATTAATACAACACTATATATTACAATAAATGAAACAAATTTTTATTTACATTCTATTTTGTATGTTTGTAAAAATATAGAGTCACGAATGTCTTGCTTAATGCACATCTTGTTTAACAGTATCATTTGCATAAATAACTAAAACGATCTTTTATTGAAATTTTGCTTCTTTGATCCTTCGGGCGTTCGCTAAAATTACCAAAAATAATCTGAAAGTTTAACTTTTACAGAACGTGCTTTGATACATTACCGTTTCATCAGTATAATAAATTACCCTCAAATACACGATCGTAATTTCAAAAATGTAAATGTCCATAAAGACACGATGGCTTCAAAACCCATCGAAACGAAACGATAAAACCGTTCCCACCGTTCCCAAAACATACATTGAATTCGCCGACAGCAGGTCGATCAGCTCGTCTCTCAATCCGCTCTCTCCGCTTAAGGGGTTAACGTCTCGGAAGGGTCCTCCGGCAGAGCCGCGCGCGCTTTTTACTTGCGCTTTGAAGCACGGCTCTCGAAATCGATTTCCGGGAACCGGGCGACTTTTCAATGCAATTAGAAGCGGCCCCGCGGAGCACCGACCGTCCCGCAGCCACCGT